AATCATTGCAAGGAATACGGAGATCTGACAGGTATGTAGGACAGAAAGGAAGCATGCAGAGTACCTGAATCACCCTTTTACACACATTGCTATCACTCGAACCTAAGTTTCAAAGCCTAACGTATTCTGAAATCGAATACTAAGCTCTCCTAAAACTGAGTGGTTTTGGGTGATGATTCGGCTAAGAGCGATCTCATACAGTAACAGTTTCTGGCATATGCAGCTCATTTTAACAGACACCAGTACGACTTCGAGAAAGCTGTCAGGACTGCTCCCAAAAAAAGAGCCGTCCAGTTCACGTTCCACTTGCCAAGTTAATTTCATTTGACATTTAATTTGTATCCTAAGGTCCTGTAGATTTAAGACATGACTATGATAACAGCAGATTAGAAAAGTGTTCTATTTGACAAAATCAGTTCATCAAGTAATTTGTGAAGAAGGGTGTCTGGATACGCATCTCCCCAGTTCAGTTATGCAGATCACCTAAACATACATTTATTGATTCTTTTAAACAAAATACAAATTTTTTCTTCTTCTTATGCCTAACGCTGAGTGAAATAGAGCACACATCAGCTCATCATAATAACAGAGAAAGAAGATCATAGGAAATAAGCACTGTGTGCACTGTGTGGCTTCAAGAACCGGAAAGATGAAGTTGAAATTCCAAGGACCAGTAGTTATCATAATGGATATGTCACTGAACTCCCATGTAGTCAACTGCGGTTCGAATCCCGGACCCGGTGGCTTAAACTCATGACGGGTGTGTGTGCATGCAGGCCCAAGATCCCAAGAGGAGAATGGAGGAGAAGGGATTGTGGCATGGCCATCCCCCCTGGGAGTGATTTCTCGCTTTCTGTCTCTCTGTCTCTATCTATCTCTCTGGTGATTGCACACGCCCTGTAGCAAAATAGCAAAAACCTCTCCAAAAAAAAAAAACAAAGTTGAAATTCCAGATGCTCCATCTACCATGGAGGATCTCAAACCTTGGCTGCACTTTACAATCAGCGTGGGATATTTTTTAACTAACAATGCCTGGTTTTATCGCAGATAAAATAAATCAGAATCTCCAGTATGGCATGCAGTCTGCATTTTTTAAAACCCACAGTTAATTTCAGCCCAAGTCTACTAGTGAAGTGAGTTTGGACAGGTAGTTTAATATCCCTGCTATAAAATAGAGTGTGATAAACATCTACCATGGTCATGGCTGACCATGCACTTTTTTTAGAAACGAATATTAGTTTATTAGAATAAGGTTTGAAGGGCCAGTAGGTGGCATGGTAGTTGGGACACTGGACTCCCACATGGCCAACTGTGGTTTGAGTCCTGGACCTGGTGGCTTGAAGGTCATGTGGGGCATGGATGTGCATGTGCCCAGAATCCCAGGAGGAGAGAATGGAGGGAAAGGGATTATGGCATAGCCGTCCCCCATCTGGGGTGGAGGGAGGTGATCTCTCTCTCTCTCTCTCTCTCTCTCCTCTCTCTCTCTCTCTCTCTCTCCAGTAAGTACATGCACCCTATGGCAAAAACCTAATAAAACTTGAAGGGAGATCCACACACTGCAATTGGTTAATATGTCCTTCATAACTCTTTAAAGGTGCCACCTCCCTCTGCCTTTTCTTATTCCTTTGTGATTTACTTGTTGAAAAAAATCAGATCATTTTTCCTCCAGTTTTTCATGGTCCAGAAATTGATCACTGCCTCTCTATGGTCACTTAATACAGGCGTCTTTCCTACTTTCATTTCCTGCAAATCGCATGTTAGATCAAAAGACCTGATCAAACTTAGATTTAATTGGCAAGACTACTTCTCACGATGCCTGCCTCGCTCAGAAAGAGATATATTTATTTCCCTTTGTGAGGGCACTCTCATAACCTCAAGTGTTTTTTGGAATCCTTTTAGTCTTTAAAACTCAGCAAAGGTGGGACCAGCAGTTAGCGTAATGGCTAGGTTGCTGGACTCCCACGTAGTGGACTGCGGTTCGCATCCTGGGCCCAGTGGCTTAAACTCACGCCGGGCGCATGTGCGTGTGTGCCCAAGATCCCGAGAGGAGAACGGAGGAGAAGGGATTGCGGCGTGGCCATCCCCCCTGGGGGGTGATTTCTCA